AATCATAAATTAGGGTTGTGGGTTGTGATTTAATGAGGGCTTAGATCACACCCATTATATTAATTTTTTTGTCTATTGAATACTTTATACAACTGAATTATATATCTTAGGGTACTATTATGGTCAAGAACTAGAGCCATATGGAGCCCATTCCTGCACAAAAACAAATTAATATTGATCAAATTATAACATCAATCTTGGAGAAATGTCACACTGACAAAGTTATTTAGATCTATTTATTTTTTTCCAATTTGCAACACTAATGACTAAACAAATAGGAGTATACTATTGTGTAGTTACTCAAGAACAAAAATAAGTAACTTAAGAAACCCTAGGTATCTGGCAATCATCCATACACGTGCAGCTCAGCCCCATTGGAGACCTCCTTGTCGGCTTGACTAGTTGTGGAGGGCCACATGTCAAAGTCATTCTCCGCACCATCCTTGTCCAATGTCTTCTGATGCAGCCAAAATTGACCTTCCTCTCATCCAAACCTCAGTAACAAACACCACAGAATTCCATATAGGTTAAGGAAACATTGTTCTCTCTCTCTCATCAGTTTGAACCTCAAACTGCATTACAAAACAGAACTAATCCAATTTTAAAAGCAATTCTCGACTGTTTGCTTCATCTTCTTCTACTCAAATTAATGCAATAATAATACCAAAGGTAACTTGTTTTATTATATTTCATGCCGTTGGCTTCCGATCCATTTTTGTATTCGCTGCATTGCATTAGCGTATAATAGGGAAGCAAAACAGAGCCACTGGGGCTGTGGGTGACGTGGATTGGCATCCTCTGGGACCCATTTCACCGCACAAAATAGTATTACTCGTGTGGCGTGTCATGTCACGATAGGGAGATGGAGATAGGATGACTTCGTTGGCGTGGGTATCTATTTGCACGTGCGCAGCGATCCCGATGAAAAGATAACGGCGTGACAGCTTTTTGCCCTTCTCTCTCTCTCTCTCACACTCATTTAAACAAACATTTCTCCCCTTAATCTCGTGGGTGACAAACTGATCAGTGAGATGATTACACCGTAAAATATATAAAATTCTTCGAATGAAGGAATTATGGTTTAGTTAATTTCATTGTTAATTTTTTAATCTGTTCAGACTTTAAATGCGGTAGGCTTGTAATTAAGAAAACCCATTAACTGTTAGTTATCTCGGTAGTTCCATTTCAACAAGAGTTCAGAGTTGCAGCTACCTCTCTAGTCTTAACCTCTGCTCCTTCTCCTTTTCTTTCTTTCTTTTTCTTTATATACTCATTAAAAAATTATGTTATAATTAAGTAAACCCATTAAATAACTCTGCTTTGTTTCATAATCCATTGGATTCACTTCTTTTTCTGAAATCCAACGGCTCCAAACAGGGCTACAGACGCAAACAATCTCATTGGATCAAGAGACATTGAAGAATGGATCTTTTCCCTTTTATTTTTTTATCTTTGAAACTTCAATTATTTAGTGGAGGAAGTACGGCCTTCAGTGACATGCCTCACACATGAACAGGTATAATGGGAACCAGGTGGTGGGGCTTCCGATTGACAACCACAGACGTTTGTTAAACTTTCCTCTGTCAAATTCTTGGTTCAAGTGTTGGGCCTCCATTATTGCCCATAAAATTAACTTCTTGGACTGATATGCTTGGAACCTGAATCACCAATTACACAATATTAATTTTAATCTTACTCTACATAATCCATGATTATTAAGACTATATAACCATGCTTTATATATAACTACTCTTTTAATTAAGGCACAGATCTTAATGATACATCAGCCGGAGTGCCACTTGTCGCTTAGTCATCTTGCTGAGGTGGCAAACTTGGGGGGCAGGTGGATGATCGTATATGCCATCCTCTTCTAAGGTCAGAGAACAAAACGGTAAATAAATGATTAAGATAAAAGTCATGGTTAAGAATCTTGTATTATCCATATGGAAGCAATATGGTTAGTAGTCTTTTTTGTACTACCATGGTTTCAGGAGTACGGGCTTGCAATGGTGCATGCTCATTAACCCAAGCTGTCTAGCTTCTTCTCATATCGTACCTATGTTGAGCGGCCCACTGATCCATGCTGTGGCGTCTGAGCCCGGCCTAGTGGGTCCACTGTGTCCTAGCTGTCTCCCTAACTGGCAAGCCTTGTCGAGCCTGACTCCATGTGGGGGCACCCTAGAAGCGGAGAGAAACTTTCTATTTCTTAATTTGACACCCATTTGATCAGAAGACTATACCCACAGAGAATTAATATTTATTAATTAGTACAATTATATATGGGTTCAGGCTTTCAGCTGGTATATATATTAACATGTAAATTAACCATTTTTGTTCTACCATATATATAAATAGCTACTAGGAGTACTCCGAGTGATTATAAAAGGTAATTGAGTGCTGCTGATAAGCGTGATATCATTTCATGGAGGACATATTATGGGCAACTGGACCCATGATTCAATGAATCCAAACAGACCATCGTAGAAAAATATGAGCCAAATTGATTTAATATATTTTTTAATTTACTTGTTTAAGATGGTCAAAGAAATAAAATCTAATGATCGGTGCAAGAATTAAAAGAAACTCTGACATTCTAACCAACTTCATTTCAGGCGTTTCTAGTCATCAATATATATCTCCACCTCTGCCGGCCGGCAACCTGTGAAAGAGAGATGCACGCCAATGCATATGTGAATAGGTTATTAACAAATATGCAAAGGGGAATCTCCATCCCACACCCACCCATTGCTTGTCTTCCATCCCCAGGTGTCAAGCAACAAACTGCGCCAATGGGAGCCTTCATTGCTGTCTAGAAAGAACATCCACTATATTCTATTGGCTTCTGCTATCTCAATTTTCAGGAGCAAGCACTCACTGATTGCAATTATCTTTACTTTCAACCTAGGAGATTTCCATTGGATTGCACTGATTAGTAGCCTGTGATCTTCAACTACTAGGATATCTCAAGCTGGGTTTGTTGAATGGTGGTCCTAATCAATGACCACCCATATATATGATCTTACTATATATGCCCTAATAATGTGCTCCAGACTGCTATTGTTCATTAATAATACTCACCATCCAAAAGAGAAAAATATTATAGCTTTACAAACCTTATTTAAAAAGCTACGTAGGTTGATAGCCTATTCTGAGTTCTGACTACAAAGAAGCTATAGAGAGGGAAGGATGAGGAAGTTGTATATATGTTTAGGTAAGTTAAAAAGATCATATAAAAGTGACTTTGAAATGCTAAAAAAGGTTTGTCAGGTGGGTTTCTCGGGATGTTAATAGTTTATAAAGAAGCAATAAAGATGAGCTTCAGTGTGCTTTTTCTAGATTAGTTATTGAATCCCCAACCCATCAAAAAAAAAAAAAAAAGATTAGTTATTGAACCCCACATTATTGTTTAAGGGACATATTTTAATAAGCCCATTAATTTAAAACTTTCCTTCCTGTCTCCAAGGTCACTCTCCTTTCCTTCATGGTTTAAGTGGCCAACAAGTACACATGACTGAAAACCATTCCGAAGATCTGATAATGGTGGCCAGGGTGGCTGGTGCCATGCAAGAAACCCTATTGATACGTCGGACTACATCTTCCACTGTGAATCATAGGTTAGTCCAGTCATCAAGCTAATAGCTAGAGCTAGAAGAATAGAAGATGCTGCTTTTCATTTCTCCTAATTAAGCTCTAGTGCCCATTTAGAGTTTGCTTTGGTTAATTGAGAAACTTAAGGGATTAATCTCTCTGTTCGGTTGTTATTATTAGGGATATATCATATATATATATATATGGAGGTGTGGCCAAATTTAGCCCAATGTGCATTTGAGCGAGGTCTAGACGTTGGTGCCAATGTGTGACATTAGAAATTGATTGAAAATGATTAATGATTGTATGTGAGATTAGTTAATGATAATAATATGGTATTGCTCGACAAGCTGTGACCTGAAACACTAAAACAAATGGAAGACTAAACTCTTTCTCTCTCTCATCGTGCGTTTGTGTGTCTGTGTTTACCCCCTTCATGAAATGTTCTATTCCAGTGTCACTATCTTTTGTTTCATTCTTTTTGGAATATGCTTCTTCTTAGAACTATTTTTTTTTTTTTTTTTTTTTTTTTAGTTTTTTACATTCACAGTTGGGAGGAACAATTAGTTTTGGCATTGTAGGCCAAAGAGTTTACACGCACGTTATTCTATAGCCATAAAAATGGGCGAATGAATACGTAATGAGTTAATCCATCACCATTAATTCCATGGGTAACTACTATATATATCTCTCAACTGCTAATTTGGACAATCTGAGCAGTTTCAACGAACCCACATCTTTATAAATTACACCCATTAATGAAAATCAACCCAATTGGTTTATCCTAGCTAGTGATTACTGTAATAATCCTTTATTTTTTGGGCTGTACACATAAATTTTCAGACTGTACATCAAGATGAATTTGATAATTGGATGGTTATTATATCTACCATATATATGGATCAGCTTCTAGAGGAGGTTCCTCCAATAGGCTCTAGGTGGGACCTATGGAACTTGTCTCAGTCTGAGCTTCATGGGTATACGCGGATGACTATAGTGGCTGTAGCTAGTGGCTAAGGTCTACAGCTCTAGGCTTTGAGATTTGCCCTTTGCATTTATGTCAAATCCAAAGTATGTAATTCCCAAATGAATGCACTTGAGTTTATCACAGTAAAGAGCAATACATCAAAAGAGACGGAAAGAAATAACTCCAATGATGAAGCAAACAGAGACGGGTTGTATTTATGTTAGCTCTTTTGTCGTTTAAGGATGTTTGAATGGAATCTCATGAGAGTATTAAAATTTAAGATGGGGGGTGAAAGAGGGTTGTGAATAGAAAAATAATGAAATCTGTAGCCCATTATGGAGACCAAGTCTAATTAAGTATTCATTATAATAAGATCCCACCTCCCTCTCCTTGGAGCGTTTATAAAACATTGTGAAAGTGCTTGCACTGGACTACGAGCTAGCAAGAGCAAAAATCACCAGAGCCCAAGAGAGAAAAGAATCAATCACCACCAAACTGAGAGCCAAGATGACAGGGTTTGGATCTCCTTGTGGAGCCTGCAAGTTCTTGAGGAGGAAGTGTGTCAAGGGTTGTGTTTTTGCTCCTTATTTCTGCCATGAGCAAGGGGCCACCCATTTCGCTGCTATCCACAAGGTCTTCGGTGCAAGCAATGTTTCAAAGCTCCTCGCTCACCTCCCAGTAACCGACCGTTGTGAAGCTGCGGTTACAATCTCATACGAAGCTCAAGCAAGGCTTCAGGATCCCATTTATGGATGCGTCTCTCATATTTTCGCTCTCCAGCAGCAGGTACTCTCCCTCTAATTTGCATTCATTCTCAACACAGGATTACATTCAAAAGCAATTAATTGTATACTAGCTGAAATTGCTATATATATTCTGATCAGAATTTTACCTTCAGTACTGAGTTTCTTTCTTTCTTTTGGTTGAAATTGTGCTGCAGGTTGTGAATCTACAAGCACAGCTCGCATCTCTCAAGGCACAAGCAGCACAGAACCTTGTCAATGGCTCCACCACTGCAACCCCTCAAGAAGACACTAAGTTCTATGGGAAGTTTCCTTCGTACCCACAAGATGTCCAAGCTGCTGGTGCAGGTTTGTTCAATTTGGAGGATTCATCAAGGGTGGTGCAACAATTCCATCCCAACCCAGCAAACAACAATGCCGACTCCACCATGTATTATAACAATGGTCTCATGGATATGAATCCCAATCCCATGGATTATCAGAATTCTGTCATACCTGAAGAAACCATCTCGTATAATAGTTTTGAAGACCCAACTCAGGCCATGGCTTCGCTAGACATGCAAACCAACAGCAGGAAATGGGCGTTCCAAGATATGGAGGACCTTCAATCAGTGGCCTTCTCTTATCTTCAACGTACATGAGATGGTGGACACTCAGCCAAATTATCAGCCCAGATGTGTTCTCATCAATTTTGAAATGCTACTACATACTTCTAAACATGCACTTTTGCTGCTACTACAAATAAGCTAGGATCCCTACAAATGCTTATACAATTAGGAACCCTATAGTCCAGTCTATGGTAGTTTTCTTAGATCTTGTGTATCCTTAATTAGTAATTGATAGAATAATAGTGTAATCTTTTTGTCAGAGAAAACAAAATTGGGAACTAGTTTTGTTCTACTTAAGTAGCTTCAGTTCATTAATGGACCTAATTAATGAAGACCTAAAAAATCAAACCTAATGATACCTAGGTTTCGTGCTTGATTTACCTAATTCCTCGCCATTGAACTTGTTAATTGCATTAATTAGACATCTGAAGAAGGCAAACGCCTTAAAAAAATGTCCATTCAGTTTAAGGTCGTCATCATAATATTGCAAATCTATTAGGTAAGCTAGCTAGTAATGACGTTGTTTTAAAAAATCCCTTCGATACTCAGAGTACTACATTAAGAAGTCATCTCTGTGAAGAATGAGATTTCTTTGCTCAAATTTCAAGTACTCCAATTACTGCTTAGAGTACCTGAGGATATGAGTAAGCTCTTTCAGAATGAACGTTTTAAACAAAATCTCTTTGATACTCAGAGTACGTACAACAAGAAGTCATCTTTATGAAGATGGAGATTTCTTTTCTCAAATTTCATCAACTCCAATTATTGTTCTTTAGAATACCTGAACATCTAATTAAGCTCTTTGGGGATGAAAGTTAATTTTAAACAAAATCTCTTTGATACTCAAAGTACAGTATAAGAGGTCATGTCTGTGAAGATTGAGATTTCGTCGCTCAAAGAATCGGTGCAATTAGCTGTTTAGTCCCAATTCTGATATCTGGAGGAGCTGCTAGAACATGTTAAAAATAATTTAAAGTTAGTTCTGGTKTTTCCTTTACGACTTTCAGTGAAGTGGAAGGTTGTCTTATGCAAGAACATTTAAGATTACATAGAAACTTCATTCAATCTCAACATTAATAAGAACAACAGCGCATGCAATAATGAAACTCCGTCTTTGAATCAGAAACTGAGAAACCTGAGAAGGTGTACAAACTCGTAAGTTGTATGGTTCGAAACCTAACTCTAATCATCATCCTTCTCATTCTCAGTTTCTCACAACCCAATATTTATTTTCTGACTTTCAAGAGAGAGTCCCAATGAGCTTATGCGCTGTCTTAGAATTGTGGTATTGTCCTTTGACTGTATTCAATAATATCCAGCCTTCTTGTTGGAATGGTTCTTGCCGATTGTCGAGAACTTCATTCTTGAGGAGCAGACATGAGCCCATGAATATCTGAGAAATACGAAGAATTGCTATTGTCAGTTCTTAACAAGATGCATGCGTCTCGACTTCGGCAGGTTAGATAATGCCTGGAGAGTAGAATAAGATGGAGAGAAAAGCGAAAAACAGCTTTATTATTCATGGGCTTGCTTGCCTCAGGAAAGGCTTCAGCTACATAAGGCTGCCTCCCCACTACAGACATGTTTCTCCTTATAAGGATACTAAAATAAAGTCTGCACCCTCCATTTTCTGAGTTCTGACTATCATCAAATTATTAATGATGCCTTTTCATGGTACTTCAGTCATCAGTCCAACAAACAAGCCCCTCATTGTGATCCTTTAGTCGGAAGATGGTTTAAATTGTTTAAGGACCTACAGAGAAAGGGTTTCTCTTAATTGATCTAAATCTGAAAAATTAATTTGAAGCTAGCTAGAGCTGAACTATGAATTGCAGAGAAGAGTCTCTCTCTCTCTCTCACTCACTCTCTCTCTCTCTCTCCTATCGTCATTTGCATTATAAAACTGCCAACAGTAATTTTCCTTTTAATTTCTTGTGCATTGGAGGTACAGATGCAAAAAATATGGTAAGGTAAGGGAAGCAAATAATTAAATAAGAAACATGAGACTGTACAGGAATAGACATGCAAACACATACATATATAAAAACACAAGGCATAAGTGCCAAAAGTTATTTCAAGACAAATGGTGTTCAGTAATTCACAAGTCACACCTCACCAGACAATGGTGTAAGGTGGGGAAGGGTTAAAGCAAAATTTCCGGGGCTAAATATTATAGAATTAGAAAGTGATACTACATATATATGACAAGATTAAAGTGAAAGTAGGATGCTTATAGCTTGAATGAGTAAGGTTAATGACTTAGGGATTAGGGTTTGTACTTGAAGAAAACCAGATTAAGAAGCTGGTACAAATGATGGGGTTAATTTAGAAATTATCGTGTTCTGAAGTAAAAACATAATTTGCAGTTTGGACACTTTAGGCTTCTAAGGTTGAAGACAGACTCACAGACTTGCTGTTCAATTTGTACCTTCGTCTTACATCAAATCACATGGAATCATTGTACTAACTCATTGATCAGAAAATTTTGTTTTTTTTTTTAAAACCCCATAATTGAATAAAAAGCAAGGTTCCGATTCTAGGGTTTATTCACTTTACTAAAAGTCTAAGACTTAGAAAAGGAGCTCACCACTCCAAGGGAACAACAAAGTCATACCACCAAAAAGGAAGCACTCCTCAACTTTGGAATTTACTACCCTGAACGCAACAACAATCACAACCACAGGATGGAAATGAAAAGAAACAAATTCTCCCTGTCTTGAGAAATCTATGTACTTTTATTTATGGATGCATATTTGTGAAAATTCCTAATTTTCTTTTAACTGTAGAACTTCAAAATAATGGCTATAGGGAAGAAAAGTTTGCCACTTTACTAGGTTTCTACAAATGCAATACTCAACTGTATGTGCTTGGGCATATGAAATGTAATGCCCTAGAGATGTTGCCTCAGCTTATCACAGTTTTTTAGGAGCATTTGCTTTGCCACAAGTAACTTTCTACTGATAACAACTACCTATACAGCTTTGATATAAATCAGTTGAAGTAAAAAAAAAAAGAAAAAATTATGACAGATAACAGATGATAAGCAATTAATTGTGTAGCATAGATCTATTGAGAAACCAAAAACTCCACCTTTGTATCATGTTATCCTACTGAAATTTCAGTATGTATATATATATATGGGGGTTAGACGCCATGTAGCCATTTGATCTCATTAAAGTGATGTTTGGTTCGCAAGTAGAATAATGGTAAGTCACTAATAAAATAAAAGTAATTTGCAACTTAAGCTTATTTATCAAAGCTGTTTTAAAGATAAAATTTACTTTTCTACCGATGGTCAGCTGAGATCAATAGAAAAGTTACTAACTGTACCCAATCATTCAATCAAGCCCCCTAAAAGTTTTTTTTTTCCTTTTTGGAGGGGGGAGGGGGGAGTGGGGATGGGGTATATGAATGGGTAGAGATAAGATCTGGGGAAACCGCCTGAGTTGCCTTGTATCCCATGTTTGCTAAGGTTTCAACGTTGAAAATAAAGCAAAGCAAACATATCGATCATATTTCTTGAGCTCCTAAAAAAAAAAAAAAACCAACTCCAATTCAAGTACTGGTCTATCTATTTATTCAAAGTTTGGTTTCGAATATACTTGAGCCAATTAATTATAAAGCCACAGAAAGGAAAGGATGAAGACCCATACCCATCATCCATGGTTGTAAGTTGTTTCACACTTTCACTGTCTTAAAAGTACTACCAGACAACCTTCTCTTTTGATGGGCAGAATCAGTAGACAACCGAATTAAGAACACAAAAGCAATGTTTTAAAGTACTAAATAACTAAACAAAAAGGTCATCAACTGTGCGGTACGGTTCCTTTGATAATGTTGTTAAGGTGTCTGTGAAGCCCATAGTGATGTTTTAAGTCAACGGCCCAATAGAGATCCAATGTGCTTYATTCAGAAAAGSTGGGCCATATTGCGACATTCTAGATCCAATTTGGTCCACTGTTTGTTGGGCCTTGAAATTAAATTAAGAAGACGATGAAGCCCAAACTGTTGGGTCCACATACGGAGTCCAACCATGTAATCCGGCCCTAGAAGCAGCCCATTCACATTTCACACCCCTAACTGTAACTGTAAGGCTCCTATTCCATATACTAATGATCAGAGACCTTTATAAGGCTATGTTTGGTATGGAAGGATATAAGAGAGAAACAGAAAATTGAAGGAAAGTTTTCCCTCAATTTTCTTTTTCTCTCACATTTCTATCAAACCAAACACAGCCTCCTCATAGATTATAGTCACTATACTATGCAGAAGCTGCCAAATGTAAACCCACCTCTTGCTTCCTGTATGTCGCTTTCTCCAGATGTAGCTAACATCCAATGGTTACCCTTGTGTTTCCACCTTAAATCTAAGCAACGTACTGGACCCACAGTAAAATAAGTCCGAACTACTTGATCATGATCCAGAAAAGAAAAAGGAAAAAAATCAAAGAACTGGGTGAAGTGGGTTTTCTTCTGACCCGTCAGTATGTGATTCTCGGACTATCTACTTGCATTCATTCATTCAAAAGAACTTCTATTGGGAGTTTGGTTTGGAAGCTTTTCAAGGCTTCTTGGGTAACGTAAGTGGTGGGGGCCCGTCAAGCAAATAAACAACCACATCTCATCTCGTAGGCCTAGAAAAAGAAAGAGCCAGCCCCAGTGTGGCCGATTTCTTTACAATAAGCTAGGGGTCGGCCGTTACTCAAAAGGAACAATCAAGCCGTCAGATCCATCACCGACGCGCCACAACTCAACGGCTTAGATTGCCCGCGTCTGTAGAGCCAACGGTCAACTTGTTGGTTTTTCAAACCCCGGGAAATTAAGAGACCTCAACTCCCCTCAATTTCCAATTATTTTAATAATCCCCAAGTGAGTCAAAACACACCGACTGCTTCATAATTATAAAATCTCATCACAAAGATGTGTATCAGGATTCATTAAAATCAAACACACGTTACATGCATTTCCCCAAAAAGAGAGTCCTTCAAGCCTTCTCAACTCTTTCACATCTTCATCTCTTTTTTTTTTTTTTGGCTAAAGTTTTCATCTTTGATGTTGTATATATATATTTTCTTCTTTTTCTGGATTCTTAGTTTAGCTTTTACTGAGGACTTTCTGGATTCTGACTTGAACTCACATTCAAGTAAAGATCATTCAGAACACTTTTGTTTAGTGGCTCTAAGCATAATTTACTTTACAATCTTGAACACTGGGGACCATTGACTGAATGTTGATTATGGATTCCAGAACTAAGATATCTTTCTTCTTTTCTTACCTTTTCTTTCCATTTTCTAATGGGAATCTAACATGAGGTGGTATCCAATAGGAATGACAAATGGTTACTTGTAAGTCGGATTAGATTTTGTAGGGTATGTACTTCTGTGTATCTCTAGACTAGGCTGAAGTTCTGGGACCTTTGAACCAAGGATTTGATTAATACAATACTCATGTGTGATGACAGGCTAATTCCTCACAATCAATGGACTTTGATATCTGCTTTCTCAGAACTAACTGAAAAGTCAGAATTTGAGGTCAATAGAATAATTAGTGCATACATGAGTACAGACTGTATAAACCCTAATCCATTTAATTACTTGCCATAAATGATCATTCTGTTGACTGGGCCTAGCATATTGACTATGTATTTTTCTCTATTATTTACTAGTCCATCTACTTAGTTCCTTGCAGGGGTGTTGTTGACCCTCTAGGTTCTCACTTATCCAATACCACAAATGAGTGGAAGATTTTTCTCTATTATTATCTGTTCCTCTCTTATCTTCTAAGTTCTATCAAACCAAACATATATAGGTTGTTTGGTATCATCACTACTGTTTCTACCTAAAACATTTTGGATTGATCAATACAAATTATTGTTTCTACGGTTCTACCTAAAACAATAAATTTGATGTTTCGACTCTAAACCTCAATGATCAGTCCCACACGTGCATTTTTTTTAGTTGAAGTGACTTTCATATTTGATGTAACAACATATATTTCTTACCAATTTGTATTAATCAATCAAAAATGTTTTAGATAGAAACAACAAGGTTATCAAACATAACAATAATAACAACAACAACAA